AGTAAACTCAGCTTGTTGGAGACACTGTGTCCAACAGTTTCTGTAAGTCTGGCTTTAGTAAACTCAGCTTGTTTGTGACACTGTGTTAAACAATTTCTGTGAGTCTGGCTTTAGTAAACTCAGCTTGTTTGAGACATTGTGTCCAACAGTTTCTGTAAGTCTGGCTTTAGTAAACTCAGCTTGTTGGAGACACTGTGTCAAACAGTTTCTGTAAGTCTGGCTTTAGCGAACTCAGCTTGTTGGAGACACTGTGTCAAACAGTTTCTGTAGTTTCTGTAAGTCTGGCTTTAGTGAACTCAGCTTGTTGGGGACACTGTGTCCAACAGTTTCTGTAAGTCTGGCTTTAGTGAACTCAGCTTGTTGGAGACACTGTGTCCAACAGTTTCTGTAAGTCTGGCTTTAGTGAACTCAGCTTGTTGGAGACACTGTGTCCAACAGTTTCTGGAAGTCTGGCTTTAGTAAACTCAGCTTGTTTGAGACACTGTGTCCAACAGTTTCTGTAAGTCTGACTTTAGTAAACTCAGCTTGTTTGAGACACTGTGTCCAACAGTTTCTGTATGTCTGGCTTTAGTGAACTCAGCTTGTTGGAGACACTGTGTCCAACAGTTTCTGTAAGTCTGACTTTAGTAAACTCAGCTTGTTTGAGACACTGTGTCCAACAGTTTCTGTAAGTCTGACTTTAGTAAACTCAGCTTGTGACCTGTCCCTCTTCATTTTCCAGGCACATTAATCTCCATGATGCTGATCTGCTGCATTCATTGCTGCTGCTGTGGAAAGCCCAGATACCAGGCCTCCAGAGTTCAGCCTCTGCAGCCTGTCTGAAGCAGAGACAGGGACCAGAACCTGCTGAAAACAGTCCTCCCCCCACCCTCACCTGACTGACATGGATCTGGACACATTCTCCACTTCCTGAGAATCAAATGGGACCCAACGATGGAAGACTGGGGTCCTGATATTTTCAGTGCTGGTTTAGAGATTAGAGACTGGATCAGGACTGGGGAAGCCACACCACTGGTCATAAAACCCATCACTGAACAGGACAATGAAACACTGAGGCAGTGTTTCAGGGATTATAAGAAAATGGGAAAAGCTGCTCTGTTTAACCCACTCTTATAGAGGCTTTGTAATCAGTGAACGTTCATTAGAAACATGACAAACATCATGAGTAACACACATTCCAGCATGTGGAGTAAAAACAGAAAAGGCCTTCTGTTCATGATTGAGCACTTTAATATAAAATCAGAGATGTTTACCGTTCAAAACACAGGAGCTCTGACAGGATTTTGCAGGAACAGACCCAGGGTGCAGGCAGGCTCATAAAATAGAACAAAAGATTTATTAAGTAACAGAAAACTGCTGTCGAGGCAKCTCAAGCTTACAGGTATTCGCGAGGTGATCTCACAGGCAGGGGGAACACAGCACAACGAACCGACACCAGACTGGGACAAGACAGGACTTAAATACACTGACAACTAATGGATGAACTGAAAACACCTGGTGAGAAACACGAGGGTGACAATCAGACTAATGGGGAGCAGCTGGGCTGAGACACACTGGGGAAACATAGAAACACTAGGAAAACCAAGGTGAAAACTGACAAACCATGACAAGCTCCTCCCTTTGCCAAATTGCAAAAGGTGGAGGTATTATCTGTAGGCGTGAGTTCWAATATCTGTTAGCAAGACTATTTTTGGACCACTGCATAGAAAACATTGAAACTATTAGACTTGACGTGCAGCCACATGCTGAGCTTTTAGAGTCAAGTTGATCCAAGATGGCTGCCACAGCCAAGCCAATCCTCAAACACCTCCATCATATTTATAGACTGAGCTAAATGAGGGGTGGATGGAAGAGTCTTTCCTAATGAATACTTCAAGGGCTAACAGAGCTCATGTGAGCTTTATCAAAGTCTCAGACACCTGTTGAGGTGAAACCTGTTTGTTGTCTGTGACTAAACCTATCATGAAGCACAGCACAGATGTGAATTAAACTCTTCTTTTATACTCCACTCCAACTGAACTCAGAAGTAACGACTCAGAACTGATCTACCCAGTTCTGTTCTCCTGAGYATGACAGAGCAGGTAAATATGGGTTTACTCAGAGTTTCTGCCTTCTACCCAGGACTGAGATGAGGCCCCGGTGTTTAGTTCTGTGTTGTTTCTCTAATTTGACTTTCAGTTTTATTTCCATTACTTCAGTTGTGTGTTTTTAATAGTGATGTGTTCCTCTGTGTTGAGGCTTTGAAGCATGTGTTGAGTAATGGAGGAGGATTTTTGTGGAGCGTGTTACGAACTGGCAAAAATGAACCCAGGGTGCAGGCAGCTTCAAAAAGGAAAAAAATAAAGAGAGAAACATGAGCAGCAGGTGAGAGTGGGCGGGGCTGGAGCACAGGCAAACAGGAGGAAGAAAACAGATGACAAGACAGAAACTAAAATAAAACATGAACACAGACACAAATCACAACAGAGCGTGTATCGAGGCTTGTGTTGGTGACGAATGCAGTGACGTTCGAAGCCTCGCTGGCAGCTCGTACCAAGTGACTGGTTCAGGAACTGGCTCACCTGAATGTGTGAGACTCAAAAGAGGCAATAAAACACTGCTGAGTCTCCTGTAACTTTATGTTGTCATGAAGTTGTGTTGTGTGTATTTAAGTTATTCAGCTGAG